GAAGATAGATAGATAGATAGATAGATAGATAGATAGATAGATAGATAGATAGATAGATAGATAGATAGATAGATAGATAGATAGATGGTGGACGGATGGTGGACGGATGGATGGATGGATGGATGGATGGATGGATGGATGGATGGATGGATGGATGGATGGATGGATGGATGGATTGATGGATGGAAGGACGGATGGAAGGAAGGATGGATGGATGGATGGGGATGGATGGGGATGGATGGATGGATAGATGGATGGATGGATGGACGGATGGACGGACGGATGGACGGACGGATGGACGGACGGATGGACGGACGGACAGACGGATGGGTGGATGGATGGGTGGATGGATGGGTGGATGGAGGGAAGGATGGATGGATGGATGGATGGATGGATAGATAGAGAGATAAATAAAGACAAATAAACAAACAATAAACATACTGATAGGGGGAAGAAAGAAAGGGAGAGAGAGAGAAAGGGGGAAGAGAGAGAGAGAGAGAGAGAGAGAGAGAGAGAGAGAGAGAGATAATGTCAGAAAGGGGGTAGAGAGGCGGAGAGTAAGACCGATAGGCAAACAGGCTTTAGACCGAGAGGAGTGAAGGTGGAGACGTCTTGTGTTGTTATTTTGAAAGACAAAATGGAGCATGTATACATACACAAATAATATCTATTTATGCATTTGTAGATATAATATGTATAACTCCCTGGGTACCCGTTCGATGAACGGACTGAAAAGAATCATCGATCGTCAAGTCATTGTGGGAACAGTGCGCACAGCTTGTGAACGAAAACCTTACATGCTTAGAATGGCGTCTTAGAAGACAGACTTTCCCAAGATTAGATCTAAACGAAACTAATGAAAAACTGAAAATTAAACTACAGCGACTTCAGGCTCCTTAATATAGCTGTACATCCTATAAGTGATTCTGAAGCACCGCTATTTTTTTTTTCAAATTCGAAAGTTAAGTGGTTCGGAAGTTTTAGGCGACCAAAGTGACGAACTTTCACAAATTAAATATAGTATAGATATATAGATAATAGAACTATATTAATACGCCTTTGACATAAGGTATCCTTACCCAAGGTGAAATATGTGGTGCGAGACTTCTTTCCGTACCCCCCAACACTGTAGGCAGACACTCTCAGGGCATACACCACGCCAGGATCCACGTGTATCTGGGCGTGGTAGGTGAGGTGGTTGTACACAATCAAGTGGGATGCCGTGCGGTAGTGTTCATTGGCAGGCCAGTAGTAGATCTGAGGATGTGAATGGAATGATATGTGTCACGTCGCGGTGGAATCAGACACTCGTCAATTTTTTAGGACACGGACAGGGAGGAACAGAGGGAACAGGGAATGAGAATGGGTATGTTTGGGAAGGGAAGAAAAGAAGGAATATTATTATTGGCATCATCTTAAAGTCTGTTCAGTCTTCCATGCTTTTGGTTAAATTTTTAAAATCACAAACAATAAAAAATAACAACACCATCATCAAAACCATCACCAGCACAACCACCTCCATCACCACTATCAGCACCAACAACAAGAAAAACAACAACAAAGACCATGAGTAGCAAGAATAACAACAACAACAACAGCAATAACAGCAACAACTGCAATAACTAAAAGCAGCAGCAACAACAGCAGCGATAACAACATCAATAACAGCAACAACAGCAGCAACAACAACAGCATCACCATCAATAGCTGTAACAATAGCTGGTTAAATTTTTAAAATCACAAACAAAAAAAAGCACATATCTGGAATAAACGTCAAGATATTTGCAATTAAAGAGTGTGGGCGTTGCCTGGTTTCAGAAGTAAAATACGCGAGAAAATGACCACCAACTTTAGTGACTTCCAAAGCTTGGGTGTCGTTGGAAATAGAAAATTTACACTTCTTATGCCTTTGGTCAACGTTTTTCAGTAAAATCCACACAGAAATGTGATTTTAGTTGGACTTGAAAGGTTTTGTACCAAACATTAAATTCGATAAACCTTGCACAACGTGTCGGAAAATGCCCGTTTCTTCCATTTTATCATTTTAACGAGCTTATGTGTTCACTGCAATGTCACATACGTTGTGGATTTGTAGTTCGTAGATGGGTTATGCTATTATTATTATTATTATTATTATTATTATTATTATTATTATTATTATTATTATTATTTTTATTATTATTATTATTATTATTATCAATATTTTTGCTGTAGTTGTGTTATTATTATTGTTGTTATTACTATGGTGAAGCGTCGTGTTTGTTGTTTTAGTAGAGGTTTTTCGGCGTTCTCAACTGCATAAGGTCATATGAGTGCCAAGGGGTGGATGTCAACAGAGAAGTCTTTACAGGGAATCATGCTTACTCTGCTCACCTCTCTAGCTTCAACAGCACAAAATCTGCTTCGACAATCAAAGCACCCCGGAAATAGCAGGTCACAAGAGTGTGACAAACATACAAAAGAAATAGAGGAAAAATGACAATAGAAAGGATTAGGAAAGAAAAAGCAGCAGTTCCCTGTTGTGAGCATGACATTGATGAATCTGCCCAGTTACAATTACAATTCTACTGTGCATAAGAACATGGT